ATACAGCTACTTTCTCTTAATTTGATGAATAGAAAGATTTGTACTAATAGTGTTTATGGACAGGATATCATGTCTGCATCTTGTACTATGAATAACCACTAAGAAGACAACAATCGGCAATGTTTAATTATTGAAACTGTCCTACTAACCGGTTTTGAAATTGTCTCACTGCTATTTGTTTCTCAATAAAATTATTTTTACAAAATGGAAAAAAAACAATTTAAAAAAAGAAAGTGTTCATTGACCGCCTAACAGCCTTTCATTTTCAAAGGAATGGTGCTGCTGCTGGGATTTTTACCTCCCCATCCCCCATGAAATAAATCTCCCGAGCCAGTGGCCTTTGCTAATCTGCGGGGACACCCCCCAGCCAATTATGCTGGGATACAATTTCTACCTCCCACTGCACATTCCAAAGTTTTCATTCCTCCCAGTCCCAGGACGGCAGTGCCATGCCACCAGTGAGGGAGGTGTCACACTCCTCCTAAGAGTCTAAAACCTATCTGACCCTGGTGTGTCCCATCTTTGGGCTTTTTAAACCCATAAAAACGGAACTCCATTAAGCTACCAAAGAAGGCAGGAACAGAGTCTCTCCTAGGATAAAGTCACTGTAAGCCCTGCAGAACTGCTAAGTTTTCCCTCTAGTTCTGCAGAAACGTAGGCAAGTGTTTTGATTTCTCTGGATGCACTGGAGACAAGTGAGTTATAGAGCCCCGATCCACACGGAACCCAAAGAAATGGTCTAATTTCATGTCATTTTGTTCCGATCTTTTCAAGCTGTTTTTACATTCTACACAGACACAACCATATAATATGGCTGTACTTTATTTTTTAAGAGAAACACACGTACTTAAATGTGATTAATTTTCATAGTCAAAATCTTGATATTTTGCCTCTACTCTGGACAGAACTGCATCTTTAACATGGGCGCGATGTTTTCCCATTCCATAAACTTAAGACAGTTGCTGGAAGTTTTCTTAACTGTTCGTCGGGGGAATTTATCTACAGCAGTAATAAGTTTGGATTTTGGGGTGTTAGAATCAAATATAGTCAAAACTTGCTCACTGCTGTGGACACTGGGTCATGCCGGGTTTTAGGAGTCTTACTGATTAGGTAAAGGAGCATCAGCGTTATTCTGACAGGCTGCTCCTGCCTGCCACGTCAGGATCGATCGCTTGGCCCACGTGGCATGAGCCCTCTCCACCAGAGCGGGCAGCTGCCACGGGGTCCTCACAGCCCCCCCAGCTGGTATAGCCAGCACCCCCTTGGTGTGGTACATGGTAAATACTCAATCAGGTTAGCTGTTGGTATCATTTGCTGTGGAATGTTACCTCTCTTTTCGTATCTTTTTAGGAAAAGAAAATCTACTCCTCAAGGGATTCCCTTATTTTGGTTCTCTCACCCACAACCACCACAATAAATAGCAGGCAGAATGGAAGCTCAGGAGAATAAGGCATCAAGGGGGCACCAGGGTCATTTTCATGATTTTCACTTTTTGCAAAGGGAAGCCTGACTTGCACCTTCCCAGTTTATCGGGATGGTACTTGGTTTTGCTTTAGTAAGTAATGTTTTCTGAAATGTATGTCGGGTGAGCACAAATGGACAAATGTAAACCCTTTGCAGTTATCTGAACACAAGAAGAAGGTGTAATAAAATTTATGCACAGTACGTTTATTTTTTCTAGCTTTTCTAATGGTTCGGAATCATTCCTTCTAATAACCTTTTCGGTCTTCGGGCTGTTTTGTCATCTACAAATTTAACAAATGGAGAGCATTCATATTCCAAAGTAAGGCTCAGTGAATCGGGATAACAATACAGTATCAAGAAAGAAGAAAATACCCAATGAAATGTTAAGACTCATATATTTTTGTTTATACGACTAAGCATTATTTCCAGTTCTTTAAATATTTAAAGTATCCCTTTAAAATACACGCTAGAACTACCCTCCCCAACAACCTTGACACTCAGCTGCTCAGATGTGTGGGACTGACAAAATCAAAATTTACCTTTTTAAGACCAAAAAGAAACATATACATTCATTGCTAATTCCTATAGCCTACGTGGCTTCACAGTCCACTGATAAACACTGACTTTTAAACACAGCATATAAAATTAAATAACATGGAAAAATAAATACACTTTATTATATAAACACATAGACATCTGTACTGCTCAAAATATTCAGAAAATACCAGGTGCGGCTGCTTAAGGCTGCATTCAGGAAATACAATAATGATCTTTACAGTCTTTCCTTTTCGAAAGACGGATGGAGTGAGGTTATAAGGCGCCAATAGCCAACATTCTCTCTTCCTACCTATGGAAGAAGCAAACTTTGATATGCAAATGAGGTAGATACAAGAGTGTGAGCAGGCGGGCAGAGACAAAGGCACGGCTCCCCCGCGAGCACAGAAAGGCTCACTAATGAGGCAGACGAGCACTTATCCTCAGGCACCTAAAGCAAGGCTCGGAGAGCTCTTCTAAGTTTGTGCCCACAAGAACAAAGAACAATTTCTGCAGGATGGCTGCAGGCTGCAGGCTCCAGGCTGACCGGCAACTAGACACCCGGGCAATGCACAGGCGAGCCATGGGCCACGCCAGAGTGACACCGCTGGCAGACCTGGTTACTTTAATCATCTAGACAGGGCAGCTTATCCCAGAACAGGCGCGAGTGTAGCCCACTTTCTGCTTTCAGCATAGCGCCCCCTTTGCATTTGCCCTCTTAGTCATGGGACAAACTACAGGGCGCATTCCCAGGATTGGCCAAGACCTCACCTAAAGGCGGGGTGGGGCTGGGGCTGGGGTGCTGGTAGAGAACCTTGTTCACAAAGCAAGACATGAGCAGGAAAGAGTCCAAGGATGTATTTTTAAAAGGAGAGAAAAGGCTGGATTTTTGGATGCTGTTTCTCACAGTGGTCACCCTCCGATCTACAAGGACTGGAGCCGGAATTGAGGCTGCGTCGGACGTGAGTGGGTGAACTTAAGCCCCCAGAAGCCTCTCCCATGCTCTGAAAGCTCGGTCAACTGTAATTCTGGGTTTCTTTCCTGAAAACTGTTCTTTAGTAGCAAACTGAAGTGAGCTATCTCCACTTTGACCTTGGAGAAGGCTGCTTCTGACCTTGGGAAAGCTGGCTCACACAGTGGTAGCTTCTGGGGGGCAGACTGGGGACAGAAAGCCTCTGGCAGACTGCGTGATGTCACTGTGACTTCTGGTCAATATAAACTGCTCTACTCTCGAGAGCAGTGTGTTAGCACCTCAAACGCTCTTAATTTCACTGTCAGTTACCAAGATAAAGCACCACAGAAGTGACTTGATGGCTATTACACAACTCGCTGAGGCATGCTTCGTCTAGAATTACCAAGATACTGTACCAAAGCATGCACAGAAGGGAGCCGAAAATCAGAGTCCTACAGTAAGACTCTGAAAGCCTGCCTTGTTACACAGACTTTGGCAAAATAATTGCTACCAATGGATCTATTTACATAACAAGCATTTAATTTTTATATCATAATTTAAAGTCCTTGAAGAAATGGCTTTGCTCTCTTGAATGAAGAGGCATGTAAATATGTGTATATTCTACTAATGATCATTTTACAAAGGAAATACCAAAATCACATAAACAGTCAAAACAGCTGTAAAGCCCACGCCCTTGCTTCTGTGAGTGCCAGGGTATTGGAATGCTGCCGCCTCCCCCCTCTCTCCCTCCTTGTGTTGCAGAACACTGTATGTGGGACACAGGACAGCTATAAAAATAAACTTCTTGCCCTCCATTAAAAGTAGGCTCTTAAAATATTTAGGCAGAAGGGCGGCGATCCCGTGTAAAAACAAACAAAGCACCCAGCTAGATTGTTCAGTTCCGCGTCCTGCGGAACACGGCTCTGGTGTTGGCATTACGGCTAGTTGAATGAACAGAGTGTCATATGATGGGCTCCAGGAAAGCTCTGGAAAATGGGGTGCAGTAAGTGTTACATAGCAGATGGCTGACAGGAGGGGGAAGGTCAGATGCAGCTGTAACTTTATCTTAGGTCTCTTCCAAGGTCTCACTTGGGAAGACGCCGTTAAGTGATCTGAGGGAACCGTGCTGGAACAGAGTAACACTTCTTAAGCTCACGCATAAAATTCCTACAGCAGACAGTCACGGTGGAAACAATGCCCTAAATTCTCCTAGGTATCTGAGCACTACAAGGCGCAGCGGGGACCTGCCGGGTTGCAGCCTGCGATGCCACCTCAGACGCTGAAACGAGCGCCGTGTGCGTCAGCCGCACGCTCGGCTACCCTGCTCCTCAGCTGCCTCGCAAGCTCACGCTGGGGAAGCAGCCTTCCGCATGGCACGCTGCGGTACTGAGCCAGCGCCGTGCAGCAGCTGCGCTGGCAGGAACATTTGCTCTATTTCCACAAAGCAGCGCTGGTGTCCCCACAGCCTGTGGGACAAGTGAGCTATGCTGCTGTTTTGACACAGCTGAGCATTCTGGCTCTGCCAAGAGGCGCCCTAAAAGGCTGCAGAGTATTTACACCGGCGAGCACAGCGGCAAGCACTGGCCACGGCACCTGCTGACCAATCAGGTAGGAAAGGGGTCTGGGGCCAGCACAAGCATGGTGTCAAACCAGCTTCCGCGTGGGCAGAAGAAGGAGGATGCGTCAGGCTCCTTGAAGCACATCACTGAAGAAAAAGCTGCTTTGGCCTCACAGAGCGGGACTGCCCCAGCCCGACGCCCAAGCTCCTCCAGCTTTGCAGAGGGAAGGATGCCTGCCATGCAGTGGCTGCGGGGGTGGCTGGCTGCACCGCCAGTCCTGCGGGAGGGAGCCGCTGCTTGGCACCGGTCCTGCGTGAGGTGTGCCTATTCTGCAGCGTCACTCTGGCCACAGCACAGATCTACCAGGTGAAATCTCGAAAGTGCGAGAGCACGCCCACTGCTTCCAGAGCCCTCCCGAGCCCCGGGCCGTGGGCTAGGCCTGACCATCAGGGGACACCACGCCGTACGCAGGGCCGCGCTCAGGGCCGTACCGGGCTCCAGGGGCCGGCGCTCCAGGCAGCATCAGGACAGGTGGGGGCCCCACACGGCTCGCGGTCCGGGGGCTTCTCCAGCACGTCGCAGCTCAGGTCGGGGACACGCTGGCCACCAGGCCGCTGGCAGACCACCTGCCGTGACCGCACACCACCCCCGCAGGGCCTGGAGCACTGTGGAGAAGAGGAGACATCACTGTCACTGGAGCATGACAGGTCGCTGTCCTAGCCAGCCCTGGGCAGGGAGTCTGGGGGACAGGACACATCAGCTTACCCCCAACCTGCCAGAGTAGTGCAGAGGACCCCGCCCTCCTCCCTGCGAGGGTTCCCTCTTGCGGGGCGCACCCCACACCTGGACCCCAGGCCCACACAGGGCCTCATCTGGAGGAAAGGAACTGTCTGCCCTGTTTTCTGCGTGGGGCTCTGCGCGTGGGAAGAGTCGGTCAAGGTCCCTCTGGGAGCCAGGAACTAAGACAAAACTCTAAAGCAACACAAAACATTAAAACAAAAACGCACCCAGCAAAAAAGCCATCTGCCATCACACAAAGGGGACAATGCATGCGCCACTTCAGTTTCAGGCAACGTACTCAGGTGCCGGGAGGGAAACCCTAGCGCAGGCAAGGGCCGCGCTGCTGAGCTACGTCTCTGTGCCTGCTTTCTGGAAATTTCTGCGGATCCGCCATCAACCCTCGACAGCCCTCTGACTCCAATTTCTATTAAACTTCATGATGTTAAACTATGTTACTGCAGCTCTAAATTTTAGGAGGACTTCAGCTTGCTCCTAGGACAGGTAATCAGGGTAGCGAGAACGTGCGGCAGAGCACCGACTCCTGGAAGGCCCCGCGTCCGAGGCAGAAGCGAGCTGGGTCTCTTGGGCAGCGTGGCTGCGCTCGCATCCAGGAGCAGGGACGTATCAAGGCCAGGTGTCTCACAGTCAGGAAAGGTGGGTCGGTGTGGACAGCCGGCGCCCTGGCAGCCACGATCTCCTGGCATGGAGCCAGCGACAGGAGCTGACCACGGGCCCGCAGAGCAGCGTGGAAGCACTGGGGTGCCATACCAGGCGTGAGTCTCCCAGCCTCCCTCACTGCCCCGCCTGCCTGGGCCTCCCTCTCGAAATGATGGAACTGCACTGAACGGCCAGAGCGTGGCCAAGATGCCCCTGCAACTGTGGCCCAGGCCACGGATCCCTTGCCCCAGGCCACGGACCCCTTGGCCAGAGGGTGGCTCTGGCCACCCGTCTCATCTGCCTTTCTTCCTTCAGAGCTCAGGCCTCCCTGTGCTGTCAGGTCTGATCTGGGGATCGTTCCGTCAGGCAGCGCACACCTCCAAGCTCTGAGCATGTGCCGTCCCTGTGGATTCAACAGCAGAGAGGCACGTTCTTGCTTAAACGTAAAACAGAAGCATCCGCGGCCCATCATTAAGTGAAACAGGAGCTCGACACCACATAGAATCATCATGGTATTATCAGCGATATCAATTCCTATTGGCAATGGCAGCATGAACGCTGAATTTTTATAACAGCAACTGGTTGGAGTCCAGGTGTGGGGACCTGCCGGGCCCATGTCAGCGGACAGCCACAGGCAGTCGGGGCTTGCTGCTGTTACCCTCATTAGACACGAGCACATGACAAAGCAGTTGACAAAGCTATGTGCCTTGCCAGGGTCACAAAAGCGACAACAGCCAGGGCTGGGACTGGACCCAGCTTTGTGTGCTGTTGCACACAGACCATTGGTTGTCTTTTGTTACATTTGCCCGAAAATAAGACCTAACTGGAAAATAAGCCCTAGCCTGATGTTTCAGGGTGCTCATCATGTAAGCTGTACCTCCAGAATAAGTCATAGTTAAGACTGTCGGCCAGATAGAGGCATTTAGCGTGTCTGTGGCAACACACAATGATGTGCTGAATTATAAAACAATAAGAGATAATAAATATAAATAAAATTCAATATAAATAACATATAATTTAGCATAAATTAAATAACTTATAGACATTAGTACTTAAACGATAATACAAATTATAATGAAGTAAAGCCCAAGTAGGTGGCCCTGGATGGGAGGTAAATGCTTAATGCAACGGACCTCCTGCCAAACACCCGGATGAGCGCCGCCGTGGCGCACCAGCAACCTGAGCCCTTGACAGTGCGTGGAGGTGCCCGGGCCTTGTGTGGACCTTCATAATTAGTGTCGCGGGTTGTAACAGACACACTCGGTGCAGCCATGTTAAATGAAGAAACATTTTCTGCACGTTGGTGCCCGTAGTGCTTTGTGGCTTTGCACGGACCATCTTTCTTAGCTGCCAGCGCCCTGCTGCTGCTCCTGTCTTGAGAGTCTTCAGTCAACACCTGATTCACTGGGAGCTTCGGGAAGCCCGGCCTGCAAGAGCTCGGGCCTTGGGCGAGGAATCCGTGGGGCGAAATCACTGCCGACTGCACCGCGAGAGGGCTTCGTGGGCACAAGGTGCTCCTCTGAGGAGAACTCTGTGGCCAGACAGGAGGGACTCAGGCCTGTGGTTCCATGGGAAATGGGGTTGCAAGAAATCAGACTGGAATTTGGGGTTTAGAGAGTTATGGCGCTGTTCCAGAATATGACAGGACTGTTTGAACAAGGGTAGGTTTTCGCCCATGAGTACGTGCAGAGATGTAGACTGGCACACGTGGAAAAATAAGACAGCCCTGGAAATAGGCCCTCTTGAGTCTTTTGGAACAAAAATTAATATAAGACCCAGCCTCAAATGCGGGGAATGCGGTGTTAGTCACAGACAGCAACTTGAGAAAGACACCAGCTGAAAAATGTCATGATCTGGGCGCACACAGCTCATCAGTCATCTTTGCAACCGAAACACGC